ATTCCTACATATATGTTGTAAATATATTTGTTGTGAATGTTTTACTAGTGTCTTGTGTTTATATTACAATTAATATATTGTATCCAATGGTAGTAAACTTGTTGCCGAATGGGATTGCAGTTATCGTACAGCTCCCTCCTCCTCCCCCACCTTTTCTCTTACCCTACTTTTTTTTTTACTGGTGTTTGGATTAGAAAAGGAAGGAAGAGGAGTCAATAGAAGAAAAAGAAGAGGAAATAGAAAATAGTTAGAGATAACAGGTGGGGGGGGCTGAGTTTCACCATGCGTCTGGATGCGCACTTTCAACGTTACCAGACCATTTTCAGACCTTACAGCTACAGTGTGTGTACTTATCCCTGTGGCAGACTGTACCTTCATTTTTATTTGGGGAAGTGAAGGTGGTCAAGTGTAGTGTCTGCCACACAACTCTTATGTATCCCGAGAACTTATTCTTAAACGTGCTTGATCCTCACTGACCCTAATGGACCGCCATGCATATTGGACCAACTTTCTTCAGCAGATACAGTTTATAGATGCGTTGCCAGGTACACGCCAGGACGAGTGAGTGAGAGGCTGACTGGTGTTACTATATTCATTCAGTATGTTGGACACAATAATGAAGATTACAGAAAAAATCAGGAAATTACTGGAATTGCATCTGACACAATTGTTCCTATATATATATATATATATATATATATATATATATATATATATATATATATATATATATATATATATATATATATATATATATATATATATATATATATATAAACTGAACCAGGATGATGGCAGCAGACACAGCAATACTTGTCACCTCAACAGCGTGAAGGTAACATTCCGACTTTTACAGCATCATCAAAACGTCCAGGGAAGCTGTTCTCCCACGCTGCACTCTCCTAGAATGGATTATAAACCTTTCCTCGACGCACGACGATATTATAAATACTTTAGGAACTTCTAAGTTAGTTATCAACTTCCAGAGGTGACGCAACCTTGCTCAGTGAACCTTGAGACTGGCTCTAAGTGTGTGGGAAACTGACATAAGTGTTTTTTGTCAATAATAATGTTGCCGCCAGAGACTAAAACATTTAACGATACTTAGCAAAAATTTGTTTTAATAGTATTTACCAAATGTATAAAATACTGTATATTACTATATTATGTAAACATTAACTAAACCATATTCACTTACCATAAAATCAAATAAATAACGATACACTGGTGGTAATAATATAATACGATTCATATTAATTATTCACTTTACAACTAAACAAAAATATGTATGCAAAGTGAATTAATTTATTCCACTATCACGTTATCTTTCTGCCACAATCAACAGTTGAGTGTCAATTACTTTTTCTATCACTAATTAACAAGTGATGTGGTTTTGGCCGCCATACAAAAACTCGTGATGAGATAAATTGTTGAGTGCGTTGTGTTGCTGACAGTGTGAGTGTGTTGTGTTGCTGACAGTATGAGTGTGTGGTGTTGCTGACAGTGTGAGTGTGTTGTGTTGCTGACAGTATGGGTGGGTGGTGTTGCTGACAGTGTGGGTGTGTGGTGTTGCTGACAGTATGAGTGTGTGGTGTTACTGACATTATGAGTGTGTTGCTGACAGTGTGAGTGTGTGGTTTTGCTGACAGTGACAGTCTGCTAAGTGACTAGGTGCTGTGAAAACATAATGAGTTAATGCCGATGTCAACACCAGGTAAATTTTCATTAAGGTAAGCGGCTTGGCTGACGACCAGAAGCACTCTACCATGTACGTAAACGTTGATTCATATGCACACACACACACACACACACACACACACACACACACACACACACACACACACACACACACACACACACACACACACACACACACATACGCTTTCGGGTAATTCACATATCTGTTCACCATTAAAGATATGAACTAAACGAATGCGCTTTCGAATTTCGTGTTTTTCTAATAACGATGAATCACATTTCCCCATTTATTTTATTAAGATATCAATGTTTTATTTGCTTATCTAATGCTATGTCTTCGTATATAAGAACTAATTAATTATTATTAGTTAATATGTTTCACAAGCAAAAAACATAAAGGTGTATATTTATTAGTTATATTAAGCGCGTATTAACCTAACCCCCATAAACCCCTGTAGTGAACATAACTAAATCCCATAACTCCTGACCACTACTAACAGCGTTCCAGTGAGCTTCAGATCCGCACTCAACAAACTGTAACTAGATTAACAGTTCTATCCTAATATAGCCAGCCCATCCTCCAGCTGTTTACACCAACTCTTGACTAACAAAACACATGTCAACAGAACCCAGGAATTAAGAGTGATTTTTCTCATTGATCTTAACTCTTGATGCTGTGAAGAGCGGAGGTATTGCTTTTATAACGCCACATACCTGACCTGTTGTTAATATTATTAGTTATTATTATTATTATTATTATTATTAGTGTTATTATTGTTGTAGTAGTATAAGTTGTACTCACTTAACCATATAGAGGATAGTAGAGTCGAGGTGCAGCCATAAGTAGTGGTTCGGGATGGTCATAGTTTGAAAGGTGACGGACTTGGCATTCTTGAAGAAGGCGTCAGGTCTCCAGATGTCTTTGAGCCAAGACACGGGCAGCAGACGGTACTCCCCCGTCATGTTCTGTGGGAAGCGAAGCCGGTGGTCCTTCCAACTCTGGGCAAAGAAGATGTCTGCAGCGTAAGTCTGTGTGGGGGTGAGAGAGGGTGAGAGGAAAGGAGAATTTAGTAGAGTTACTTGTCTGAGTAGAAGGAAAATTCTCTATTCAGTCCATACATTCTTTTATTAATGGCAACAGTATACCACCATGATAAATCTTATATATGAAATTATTATTATTGTTATTATTATTATTATTATTATTATTATTATTATTATTATTATTATTATTATTATTATTATCATTATTATTATTATTATTATTATTATTATTATTATTATTATTATTATTATTATTATCATTATTATTATTATTATTATTAAGGTGTATTTACTCAACCATACAAAATTTATAGATGAAAAGTATTTCTCTTATTAATTTTCATATATTCGGAACCTGATAGTAACTGCATATTCGTACGGTAAATATTTATGAAATACTCAGCTTTCTCTTGAATATTGAACGAACAGATCCAAGGCCCATCACAACAGCGTCCAAAACTAACTGTAATGTTGTATTTTGGAGAACAATATATATAATATATATATATATATATATAATATATATATATATATATATATATATATATATATATATATATATATATATATATATATATATATATATATATATATATTATATATAAAAGAATATTTTACCTCTGTTAACCTTTTGAGGAAGATGGTTTAAATAATAAACCTTTGGAGACAATAAATGAACCCTTTGATGACAATGGTTTAAACTACTATAAACCTTTAAAGACTATGATTAAACCCTTTGAAGACGACGTTTTAACCCTTTGAAGACGATAGTTTAAACGGCAAACCATTAAGGACAATCGTTTAAGGTTTAAACTATCGCTATAAAAGGGTTAAAAGACTAAATAATCACGAAACACGATAAAGACAACCAATTACAATACAGTCAGTTCATTGGTCACTAACGATGTGAAAGAAAGGGCTAAGTTCCCTTCATACACTTAAGAAAGTAATAATGACGCGTGAAGCTGTTTCCTAATGGGGGTAATTATCTCACACGACTACGAGGGGAACTAGATGTCAAGTCGTTAACTCTCCTCCTGGAAGATTGTATGGTCAATTGTCGTCAGGTTAGGGTAAGTTAGGTCTGTGTGTGTGTGTGTGTGTGTGTGTGTGTGTGTGTGTGTGTGTGTGTGGAATATGAAATGGAAAACAAAAATTACCTCATATGAATATCTCATGTTTGCATTAATCTATTGTAGCCAGATATGAAAATGACGAGTATTAAAACCATATTTAGGCTTCAACAACTGACCTCCGTATTATTTAATTACAACACATCAATAACCCAGACTGAACGATAAATCTCTTTTTAATACCATATTGTTGATGACTAGTGCATTTGCTAACCCGTAAAGACCTTAGTTGTTGAAGCGCAGTAATGTACAGTATAAATCGACATGGATAACGAATTGTTGTAATTTTGTTATTCATTGTGTGATATAAAATAATTTGTTCACGAGATTAACTTTTGTTCTCGAATAATGATTTAATTAGCAGTACAATTTCATATAATACATACATACATACATACATACATACATACATACATACATACATACATACATACATACATACATACATGCATACATACATACATACATACATACATACATACATATACAGCTATTTTACTTGATTTTCTGAACGTCGCAGATACCCTCAAAATTCACTGAACTGTTTACACTTCTCCATACAGTGTGTCATGAAACACAACCACAAGATTTTCAGCACATTCGTCACCGAGTCGTCTTTATACTCTCCCAGGAGCCGCAGGTAATTAACTCAGCCAGAGGTTACTGCTGAGCACTCTAGCAGACCGACGGAAGGAAATAAAAGTCTGGAAAAAAAATTATTTTAACTACACGTCCCTCGAGAGATACACTGCCAGTCCTTCACTCAACTTCAAGAGCTTTTATCAGAGGTTCTCACTAATTCACAAATCGAGAGAATAAAAAAAAGAAAAAAGGTTCTTAGTCTTTAGTTCTCATATAAGAAAGAAGCTTCAGTTTACTAAACATGATTTCCAGTTAGTTGTCTGAGTGTTAAGTGGACTGTGTTTGGTTGGAGTGTTATGATCTTCTCTATAATAGCGACATTGTGTTAAGACTATCAGCTGACACTGTGGTAAGTATAGACACCTCCTGGGTGGCTGGATCAGATAGTACCTCCTGGAATACTGTACTTAAGACTGCCTCCTGGAAGACTGTACTTAAGACTGCCTCCTGGAAGACTGTACTTAAGACTGCCTCCTGGAAGACTGTACTTAAGACTGCCTCCTGGAAGACTGTACTTAAGACTGCACTTAAGACTGCCTCCTGGAAGACTGAGTTGTATTATTCCTAAGTAGGATAGAAAATGGAAACTACTGTACTTATAACAAATCTCCAGGAAAAGTAGTAGCTAGATCCCGGGACACTCCTAGCTTAATGGGTCCTTAACCTTATAGTCGGAGAAGTGTGGGTAGTCGAGTGTACCGCCGGCCATGCTGCCTCCTTCTGTGTCGTGGATAGAGTATACAATGTGGTGTGTCCACATCGTCTCTAACAGACAGTCATGGCTAAGGAACCAACTTTCAAGCCCACTTTTTTATCATTTCAGTTATTATTCTGCTAAAAAAATAACAATGGAGAGAAGTGCATGTGACTTATGTATTGCCAAGGAGATAACAGCAGACACACAAGGTGACTGGTTCCTGAATCACCAAGATTTTGCTCTTCACTTGTGTGCTGTAAGTAATGTTAAACGAACGTATCCAGACAAACCACAGTCTAGGTGTACTTTTAATCCCTTATTTTTACCTTAAGCGTTATTCTGGTATTTGATTCGGCACCAACCTACCTTCCTCCCCTAGAGCTAAGTAAACTGTACAGTACCTTCCATCTCCATGTTTGGTTCATATCTTAGTTGTCTCCTAATGCTGACAAGTTGTGTTGGAGATACGAGGAAAAAGGAAATATTACACTTCGTATTTCTATTTATAGTATGAGAAGTTCAGAAGATATACCTTTCCTAATCTAATCTAACCAAATTTAACCTAACTTAACCTAACCTACATTAACTAGAGATGTGCTGCCGCTCCCTGACAATATGCCGGTCCACAGATCCCTCGTCTTAACAGCTAGAGCTTCAAGCTGCATCACCAGCCTCCTTACAGTCCAGATCAAACCTGTCTGTTAAGGCACCTCAAGCATCACCTCCTAGGACCGCGGCTGAGTATGATGGAGGCTACCCACACTGCAACTACTACTTTGCTGTCACTCTGTATCGAGTATGACGATCATCCAGCTATGATACAATGATATGAGTTATTAAGGATATCACCCAGGTTAGTGAGTTCTGAAATAACTAAAGAAGCCGATATGGGACGGGCAGTGTCGTCCACACATGATGCACGTGTTGAAGGCTACATCTAGTGCGGGAGGGGCGGCGGCAGCGTCTTTCCGGCGTTGGCGCTTGTCTGCCTCGTTATGCAGTCGGGCTAACTCGAAAGTATTGACACCTTCTCGTGTGGCGATCCTCTAAGCGTTACGGTGTGGAGTAATCATCTCCCAGGTGAGGGGGTCGATTTGGCACTTTTCTAGGTTTGTCCTAAGACTCTCCTTATACCTTTTCAGGCGGTGTACTGACAGGGGAAGACTTATGCAAGTTGCTTCCCTGCTTGCCACGAAAGCTTGCCAGCGACGGTAGCTGAAAGCGAGAGGAAGTTAGCAGTACTTGCACCTTGACACTAACATAATGCTGCCACACTAGACGCATTACTTCAGCCTGTGTGCGCTCTCTCTCCCTCTCTCTCTCTCTATCTCTCTCTCTCACACACACACACACACACACACTCTAAGCCTCTCCAGTAAATATAGATTATGACTGCCGTTTGTACAGTCTTTACCTACAGGACCTACAGACACATACTCTCCTGCTGTAGGTGATATCATTTACCTGACTCAGACAAGATAAATGTAGAGAAGAATGTTTGACGACACAATAACAAGTAGAGGACGAGACTCCTCAATTCTTCTTGACATATTGAACCTGATGTAAAAGGTCTGACAACAGCAGTGCGTGGGTGAGAGTAGGGAGAGTGGGTGAGAGTAGGGAGAGTGGGTGAATGAGTGTAGGGAGAGTGATCGTCGTGTTATGCAAAAGGATGGAGGCGGATCACGTGTGTGTGTGTGTGTGTGTGTGTGTGTGTGTGTGTGTGTGTGTGAGAAAGAGAAAGAACGACAAAGAGAGAGAGAGAGAGAGCCAAACAGAAAAAAAAAAATAAAAATAAATAAAAAATCAAATAATAAAGACACTAAAAGACATAACAACATAATAAAAGACATACAATAATACAAGACATATTTATAATCAACAACCTCCTGTGATAGTGATGTTGACACGAGGGGGGGGGGGAGGGTTAGGCAGGAAGGAACGTGAGAGGGAAGGTAGGGAGGAGGGTGAGAGAGGAGGAATTCTCTACAGCGGTGAGTAAGACAGGAACCGCACCTAGGGACCAACACAATACCACGTCAGAGGGTAGTGATAAGGAGGCAGCAGGTACAGGCAGGGGACGAGAAGGTTGGTAATTAAGGTTTAAATGGAAGGAGGAGGAAGTGGAGGTGGTGTAGTTAGCGTAAATGATCTCGTTACGAAGGGGAAGGGTGAGACGTGGAATGGATAGACCAAGAGAGAGAAAGATAAAACAAAAATAGTGAAGAATAATGGGAATAAGTTGGATGTACCGAGGACTGACAGATGTACAGTATGGCTTTTGATGTACTAATAATAATGATGATGATAGTGATAGTGTGGTGGTAGTAGTGGTAGTGTTGGTACTTGTCTACGATGTATAAGTACTACTAAAACTTTTTTTTTTTTAAACCGTGGCCTCCAGCCTCCCCCAATAGCCACACCTTCGCCACCATTTAATTACCTTAATATTAAATATCCTAATACATATGTAGCTATCCTATCAGTGTAAAACTACTACAACTACTACTCCTAATAATAATAATAATAATAATAATAATAATAATAATAATAATAATAATAATAATAATACACTGAAAATAGTACGCACCAAAATGCATTCAGAAACATTCCTCTTTACTTAGTTTTCATCTTATTTCCTTCTTTGAGGAGAAAGAGGCCATTCGTCCCTGAAGCACGAGAGAAGGCATTTGAGGGACGGTTCTCTGTGGTTCTCTGGGAGTGGCCTGTGATTGGGCCACTCAAGCTGAAGGGCAGCCACTCAGGGCTAGCGGGTTACCTTACTCGACCTCCTTGAGTGCATATCAGAATGCTTTGCCCTGAATGGCTTACCAGTGCAATTTAATTTTTTTTAAGAATTAATCAGTCCTGATTAGCATAGACAGACCTGGATTACCCTGAAAAGTCCAAAACAGCCATGGACAATCCTGAATACCCCAGGGCTGTTCTGGGTAACCCTAGAGAGCCCTAATAGCCCTAGACAACCCTGAACAACCCCGAATAACATCATAAGTCGGCGTGTCGCTAAAAAGTAATGGGACGAAATTATTTTTATTATGGTAATATACCTTCTGGATATTGTTCGTTGTTGATACCATTTTACGGTGGATATGAAGTTTGATGTTGAGTTTTTGTGTTTTGTTCACCATCTAAAGCTTGTGAGAATATTAGTTTACTAGAGCCAAACGAAAACTCTATAATCTTATGAAGAAATAATATGTTTATCCGTGTTGTGTGTTGTGGAGAAGCAGATATTATTGTAAAAGTCCAGAACAAGAAGAAAAATATCCATAATGCTGATATTTTTCTCCATTTCATAGTGAAGAATATTTTCCCATGTTGAATAATGTTAAGTTCTCGATAACAACTTGCATATTTCTCTTTTGTTCAGAATTGTTGTTCTTAAGTGACCATAAACGGGCTACTTACGCGTCACGTCAACAACAAAGTTTCGCTCTTAAATCACAAAAACAGTAGCTGTCATAAATCACACACGTCACATCACCAGTAAAATAACAATAACATCCGTCTCGTTTCATCTTCTACTACTAACCACTACAGGAAGCCCAGGTTCTCCCCCTCAACTTACTGTACACTAAGCTTCTCACTCGGACTTCCTATCTGATAAAAATAATATATTACCGAGGGATTAATTCCACCTTGAGGGTTTCTCTTCCTAGCTCTATGAAGTCACAGAAGTTAGCATCATCAGTCCTTGATTAACTTCTTCCTTTCACCTGCTGTACTGTTGTTTAACTTAACCATTTATGATGCTAATTTACCGATCGCCTGAAGATTAACCCCCACCAGCTTACTTAACCTTAAAATTAATCACCCTAATGTAAACCTAATCTTATATAAATTAATCTAGCTTCATGTAACCTAACCTAACCCAACGTAACACAAATTAAAAGGATTCAATCGCTAGTAAAACCAAAGTTTTGCGAACATTATGTATGGGAGAATAGACAAGAGAGAGAGAAAGAAACATAGAATGATAAAGAAACACAGAGAGAGAGAGAGAGAGAGAGAGAGAGAGAGAGCGAACAATCAAGTATATCTACAACAAAAAAACAACCTAAAACCATGATTACAGAAATAAACCAACTTTTCAGAGGTAAAATCACTAAAACCTGAAAGTACCTCCGGCCAGTACACAAGAATACCTCCTCGTATACAGTGAGTGTATTTTGGAGCAGGATGTGGACACGGGGGCCTAGACATACGACGTCAATTTAGTGTACAAAGTGATCTACTCAGGTTAAATGTAGGGATATTATTTAGTCTCTAATAGGAACAGAAAGAGGCAGTATATAGGTTTGTATGAGTTCAAGTTAATGTATGTATATTGTATATATATATATATATATATATATATATATATATATATATATATATATATATATATATATATATATATATATATATATATATATATATATATATATATATATATATATATATATATATATATATATATATATATATATATTTTTTTTTTTTTTTTTAACTAATATATATGAATGTATTTATTTCATTAGCCCAATAAAGCACGCGGACTTCTACGTACAATCAACACCTCAACCCGCCAGGATTCGAACCTACGGCCCACGAGCCCATGACTGTGACAGGGGAACGCTACCTCGTGTTTCGAAGCCAGATGTGGTAAAACGTTACTCTGACCACCTACGTGATACGGGTAGACCCCATTAGAGGTTCACGGCGCCATAAGCTCGTTGAACAGGCTTTGTGTGAAATATAACAGAGTCTAGGACTGCTTTTAGTA